TTCAATGTGATAAAGCAATGAACAAAAGAAACATGCCAGTTTTTTTCTCATTTTTCTTACACAAATCATATATAATTTACATTAAAAGAAGCCATTGTTTAAAGTAAAAGTGTGAATATTTTGCAGGCTCTTCAATCTTACTGAAACTGTAAAACCCATTTCAGTGAATATTAAAGACATTATTATATTGTAGAATTTAAGATAAATACAATAAATTACATGATTCATGCAAGTTTTACAAGAAAAACTGAAACTTGTCTAACTTGTGGTCAAAAATGGTCAACACTTGAAAGGTGGCCAATAGAGAAAATATACATGTGACACTGCTATATTATGCTGAAATGTCTCTGAGGGGCAAAAACACATTGAGTAACTTTTCATTCACTGGTAATGACTAAAAATCTATTTTACTAGTGGTATTGTAGTCATTTGTGAATCGATCAAAAAGCAGCACAGTAGGAACTTTTAATACATGTTCTTGATTTAAACAATTATCACAGTGAACTATGTCATTGTCTCACCTGTGGGGCCTTCATTTGAGTATCCCAGGTTGACCTTCCCCCCTGTTGCCTCAGCAACCGGGCTTCTCCCAAACACCGATTGGTCGAACCTGCAAATCCCCAAATGAACGGTCCAATGGAAAAGATAACCTTTAGCTGAGATATGGCAGAGTCACATTGTCAGAGGCCACGCTGTTGTGAAGAGACAATTTTCTTTTCCCACCGAGCTGCAGTATATCACGGGCCTCTGCATTGTTTTCATCACAAAGTGCTTCGACAGATAAAAAATGAACGCCATCATCATTTTTCCTTATATTTTATTGGTCCCAACCAAAGTGCTCAACTCTGACTCTGTATTTCAGCTGTACGGAATTGCTGACAAATATAATGTTTAATATATCAGCTTCTTAAATGAGCTAACGACAATTTGAATCCTAATTAAGTTGCTGCAAAATGTAGGGACTTTTTAATGTATGTAATTTCAAATTCATGTCTTCAATTTTCTTTTATAATGAGGATCAATAAAAACCCATTTATTCCCAGAAATAAGTCGTACGTATTAACTAAGATTCATGCTGAGTCTTCATATTTGCTCATGTAAAATATAAATGGAGCTCAATACAGTCAGTGCTGTGTCTCTGATTAGTAGAAGCTTCTTCTTCTCAAAGAAAGTCACTTTCTTGTAAAACGCCAGAGTAAATCTTAAAAGTTTAAAAAGTAAAGAAAATCTGTGGTTTTCATTGTATAAAAATAGCTGCACAAAGCAAAAGATGCCTAGAAAATAAGCTTTTAAATCTTACCTTATTGCCTCCTGTGGGCTTGCTTCTGAAAGGTAAAAAAAAAAAGGGGGGGGGCTTTACAATTATGAGCTATCAGCTGCTAACTTTATTATTCTCACTGCATTGACCACAGAACCAATGTGCTTGCTCACTGCATCTACAGCAATATGAAAGCTGTAAATGTCCCGCTGTTTATTAGTTTTGGGTTCCGCTCTAATATCATAGCCTCCAGTCAGCTTACAATTCAACAGTGAAAGCTGGAGCTGAGTGTTAATGAGTTTTGTAACATGGCTTCATAGTTGCCTTTGCCAAAGGTCCTCCTGGCCACAGCGAAAACACAACAATATAACAATGGTGCAGATGGTGCTTGCCTCAGGAGAGATATAAACTGTTCCTTTTGGAGGGAAATAGCCATTGTTATTATATTTTAAATCCCTGCTGTCACGCTGGCCAAAGTCTTTGAGGGTGACTGTATTAGATCCCTTCTACTTTTCCAATAATTACAAAGCATACATTACTCCCCATTGAGGTGGATTACTCAAAGAAGAGCTTAGTGACTTGGAAGTGTGCCACATCCTCTAACATGTGAAACATCCTCATGAAGTTAATTTAACTTGCTCGGGGATGCAGCGCTGAAGCTGTAAGACTGGAGCAAGGACAATGGTGAAGGAGGTATCAGCCGCTTCAGGTAAAGAATCAGCTGCCGGAGGAGAAAGGTCACACCTGCTTTATGATAATCCCTTAGCTCCAAACCATGGCCATGATTTGCAATGGTCCAGAATCAGTCATGGGGATTACACTGACTTAAAATGTGTGACTCAGGGCCACTTTTTGTTATCGCACGCAAACAGGCCTCCACCGCCTCCTAGACCAAGAATCCTCTCAGAGATGGCCTTTGTCACCTTTAGACTTTATTTATGCTCGCTGAATTTTTTTTTTTTTTTTCGGTGAAACTTGGATGATTACATTGATAACGCTTTGATAGCTATACAATAGGTATGAAGATGCAGATAGCAGTTGCTGAGCATCACTAAACACAGAGACTGGAAACAGGGAAGCAGAGTGACTCCAATTAAAGTTAATGAAATCCTCCTAATCAACACATTAGATCCAGGTTGTTTAATCCCTACAAAAATACAAGAATAGAAAATAAGATATGCAGTGAGGGTTTCCCCCCATTTCCAATCACTTCTTGTCATGCCCTGCAAGGAAGCTAATAAGATGCCCTAACTACACAAGCTGTGTCCACTCTGTGTGGCCATGTGTTACAGTATGTTCAGTCAAACATGCGGACTCATCTGGCAGGAACCAGATGTGAGTCAGGACCTCGTGTTCCCTGAGGTGTACTTTCGGCTGATGTACCAACAGCTGTAATTCTTTTGGCAAACAGGTTGAAAGTCTGTCCAGCGTCTCTATATTTCAACCAAACAACTGTCAGCTTTTCTTTTCATCTCAGTGGTCTTTATCAGACTCCACCACTGATTGACAGGGTTTAGATGATGGGACACAGCTCCTTTTTTTTTATTATTTTTTTTTTTATAGGGAATCGTCCCTGAAATTGCAGCCTCTTCTTCTGCAACATCATGTAGCCCCAGACAAACTATGTGCCTTATTAAAGTTGAATTACTGTTATTTGTCTGGTATTTCATAGACAACATTATTAAAAGGCAGTGCAGTATAACATTCAAGCCAGATGATTTTATAAAATTTAGAAATAAACTGCATAAACATCCTTTTAGTACATCTCTTTATCTCTGATTCACAGTTACGTAATGGTCTGTTTGTTGATACTCAAGGAAAACATATGAAGAGGTTTGTTCTGTGTAATGGATGTTATTATGAGATATAGATAAGGTACTCATAACTGAGTAAAAGACTGAACTAAAGTCACATTTAATCTGTTTACAGATAACAGCAGTGTTGATGATGCCTTGCAAAAAGGATGAGGAATAATATCAGTGCTCCGTCTTGTCCGTTTCTGGCGCTGATTTGGGACTCAAACTACCAACTCTGCAATCCTACTTCTCTAACCTTTGTGGCTGCTGTTTCCCAAGAAGTAAAGCTTTCTGCTGACAACTAATGTTCTGCTTTTGTCAGAAAAAATACTGCGTGCCCTTGTTGAAGGCCACCATGGGGCAGTGCCGAGTCACGGCATGCAACCACCTATCTTCTTCATTATACTTTAATCACAGTTTCTGCACTGGAAAAGCGCAGGGCGAGCTGACGTTTATTCACCTCGAGCAATTTAAGGAAGAGAAAAGTGCCTACTTGCTTGTCTCCTTTGTCTGTAACAGAGGACAGTGCAGATGCAGAGCAGGATGAGCAGCAGAAGTGCAGAGAGGGAGGCGGTCAACGCCAGCGGGACTGTGCAGTCATCGTCTTCCTGCACCACCTCTGCAACTGGGGGAGAGAAGGTCACATCATTGTTTTTAGTAAAGAAATGCTGAAGCAGTGTTGTAGCTCTACAATTCAATTAGACATTGGCAGGCTGAGAGTAGAGAAAGCGGTGTTTAATTTCCAGTTTTAATTTGTAGTCGGCAAGCTGGTTTTCGCTGAGGCAAACTGCTGTGAGTCAAGAAAATGTTACAACTGCAACTACAAATTGAACATTGCATAGATAAAAATGCATTATTTGTACAACATCTGAAAGCTTTGGAGGCTCACAGCCACAGCTCCACTGTGATGCAAACTCCTGCAGTGTTGATTTGGCAGCCCTTTTCTCTTCCACTTTCCTCTTCTATAATAATACTCAGTGATGATTCACATGAGAAAGGGGCAGGGAATAAATGGGGAGAGAACAAAATGAAACACAAAGAGAGACAGATTAAAAAAGAGAGAAACACAAAGAAACGCAGAGGAAGAAAACTTAACTAGGACAGAACAAAGTGAGGCTTGACAGACAACTCTGACTGTGCATTTGTGTGCATGTATGTACGGGTTGTTTAAGGTAAAATGGGATGTGTGCGTTTTCTCACCCACTGTTAGACGGATGCTGCTGTTCAGTGGTTTAGTGAGGGCAGACACGGAGGCCAGACAATCCACATTAGAACTCTTTGCTGCCGTCACGCTGAGGTTACTGGTCACAGTGAAGAGACTCTTTCCCGACTCTTCACTGCTGATGTTGTATTCGGCCTGGCTCACCTCCACACCATTCCCCAGGGAGAGAGAATTATTATTATTTAGAGCTCATTCTGCTCAGTAATTGGAACATTTACAATCTGACAGCGTTATTCTGTAAGTATCACAAACTCAACTGAGTTTAAAGGAACAGATCACCAACAAATGTTTACTGCACAGACAGATTTTTGAGAGAACAGTTCAGTTGTATCTTTAGTGTCCACATCCATGTTATTGTTTGCTGACATTTGAAATATTAGCTATAGCTCAACCCAGCAAAATAGGATCCAAAGCAATTGCTTGATTGTTCTTAGATTTGCAAATATGTAGATAATGTACATATTTGATATAAACTCCAAAGGCAACATTGCAGTTCAAATGTAATGACATGATAATCGACTTTGCTTCTAGCAGATGAATTTCAACATTGATTGATAACAGAGTTCTGTTTTCATTTAGCAGGGTTCAAGCAATAGCTAGTAGTGTTCATGGCCAGCTTTTTGTTTTTCCATTTTAGTGATCAGACACAAAGCACAGCTTAAGCTGCAGCAGGATAAATTTAATGGTGACCAAAGAACATTTCAATTGCGTAAAATGGGAAATATATGGTGGGGCGCCCAGATAGCTCGGCGGGTAGGGCGGGTAGGCCGGGCAGGCCGGGCGACCCACGTACAGGGGCTATAATCCCCGACGTAGCGGCCGTGGTTCGATTCCAGCCAGCGGCTCATTTGCTGCATGTCATTCCCCCACTCTCCTCCCCATGTTTCTATTGTCTATCTTCACTGTTAACTATCATTAAAGGTGGCAAAGCACAAAAAAAATCTTTAAAACATTTTTTAAAAGGGATATATGGTTGATCAAATCATCTTTTTTCATCTCTTCTTTATATAATGTGTACCTCACCATGACAGTGTATAGAGGCATTAATGTAGCAAAACTATTTGTCCATATGTATGGAGAGTTGTCTGTCTGTATCTCAATCCGGTCGTCAGAAGTGAGATTGGTCAATGTGTAAGAGATGTTGTCAATGCAAACCGGAATCTGCAAAAGTCATCTCACAATTTATCTGTCTGTAATCAGGTTTTCAAATGTGTAAAAAATCTGCTCACCTGTATTAAAATTTGGACATGTAATAAGAGTTGTCAATGGGGAAGCCGCTCAACTTAAATACATAGACTTTTCAACTACGAATACCTTGTAATGGAAAAATACTGCATCTGCATGAAGAATGTTAAAGCAAGTTTCTCTAAGTTTCTCTAACTTTCATTAAAGCTGAGTGGAAAGGTTACAGTCCCAAAATGTGTTCCCATAACATCTAGGTAAACACTAGTGGCTGTACATGGGAAGAAGAAGTTGTGCATCCCATGTGTTTAGACTATTGATGCCTGATCCTGCGTGTTTAGTCTTCTAATGTCTGTGAATGAGTACACCCTGTACACCCAGCTGTTGTTTTCCAGCATGGGATTGTTATACTACCGTTGAAGTAAAGACCACGCCTGTACATGTATAAGAATACTACGCTGCCTGCACTCATGTGTACTGTCCTGCAGACTGCTTGCATTCTGTATGACCTGTACCTTCAAAGCTTTGAATAAAACGAGACAAAGACAACTCGGACTACTGGACTTTATGTAGATCATAGAAAATTTCCTCAACAACCTCTGTACACACTGACGCCTCTTTGTATGCACTGACAACTCTTATTACATGTCCAAATTTTAATACAGGTGAGCAGATTTTTTACACATTTGAAAACCTAATTACAGACAGATAAATTGTGAGATGACTTTTGCAGATTCCAATTCGCATTGACAACTTCTTTAACATATTGACAAATCTCACTTTGGACAAACGGACTGAGATACAGACAGACAACTCTCCATACGCATGGACAAATACCTTTGCTACAATAATGCCCACATACAGTGTTCCCTAAAGGGTCAGGACAAGTCTTTGGGACACTTTCTCCCCAAAAAAAGTAATTCACCTGCACAAGCTAGAACTTAAATCTCACACTGTGACTTTGTTTTGCCAGAATCGATACCTGGAAAATTAGAAAATGGCAAATGGCCTTGTAGGCCAAGGGGCACGAGTCTTATTGATGACTGGAAAAATCATTTGCATGCAGAAGAAAGATCCCTTTATGACTGCAAAGCACGTCGAGAATGCTCTGGTGGATGGTTGTCAAGAGAAAACTTGATGCACTTGCAAACCTCACAAGTTCTATAAACTATTAAAAGAAATGACAAATGTGTGGAAAAAAGCTCATGAGCCAAAGTCCCACCTCACCTGATGTGGTTTGGACATGTATGACTGCCAACTGACGTGGTACACTGGCATTTATTTAATTTTACTGTTTATTTTTGCAGGGACAATTCACAATTGAAAGTAATTGCCACCTAGCAGCTAATTTACATCTGTTGTCCCTAAGCAGGTGGACGAAAACAAGCACAGCATCACAATTATGCTGCATGAAAAACAACACATAAAAGTCCATCATACTGAGGATTTTACTGCAGACGGAAGCAATAGGATGAATGCAGAGATATATAGCAACATTCTTTGTCCTCAGGTTCAGCCACATATATCAAAACTCAATGCAACATTTTATGATAGAGCAATACGAAACATAAAGGCAAAGCAACTATAGAGCTTTTCAGGGTGAAACAGGGGAACAGCCTCAAATGTTTGAGTCAATCACACAACTTCACTTGAATAAGCTGAGCTGAAGCAATCTGAATCTGTTTAATTCCTTTTTTTAATAAATTAATTTTTTGTCTTAATTATTTTTAGTAGAGCAGAGGAGAGAGACAGGAAAGGGGGGAGACGAATGGGCAGAGACCTGCAGCAAAGGGCCATGAGCAGGATTTGAACTCATGACTGCTGTGTCAGTGACTATATTCCCTGTCATGGGACGCCATCTCTGGTTGAGCTACCAGGCCTGTCTAATTGCTTTTTAAGTGAAATTAACTATTAACTAAACTTAACTTTCACTAGACAGGGTCTTTAAAGATGGTAAATGTGAGAATGTCTGTTGTATTTACCGTTTTGCCATTCACTTGCCATCGTAAAGTTGGTTGAGGGTACCATCCTGCAGCTTGGCATTCAAACAGGACCGACTGCCCCTTAAACGCCAGCTTGTTCTCCCCAAAGACTGTCACGCTGCCCACTTCTGCATTTAGAAAAACAAGTGCACTTACAATGTTGAATGATGCATTTCCTTTCCTTGTTGAAATGCAGCATATTGTATCCACATTTGCAACTACCGTATGCATAAGTGTAAGCGTGCTTATGAATGTTGACAAAACTGGGTAGGATTCTATGAATTTCATCAACAGCCTCCTTTGAAATTCATGTATTTGGATGAATGCATCTCTACCCAGACAAGAACATCACCTCTTCAGTTGGCCCGATCGCTTACAAAAGATGGCTTTCATTTGTCCCAAGTGATTGATCACATGTCTCTAAGTCTCAATTGGCTGACAAATGCTTCTCCTCTTTTCCCCTTCATCTCCTTTCCCTGCCAGCCAAATAAGCCACCGAAAACCCAGGGAGATACAGTATCTCATATGTGAAGTCTATTGTCTGGCAGAATGAACGGCGGTGGATGCAACAGACAATTGCTATAGACAGAAAGATAATTGCAGAAGCGTCGGTGCTTTGTCTAAGCGAATGACATGTCGGTGTTGATTTAGGTTTGAATCCTCAGATGCTTTGTACGCATTATTGGCTGTCCCTTTTCTCCAGGAGCTTTCATTTGATGTCTGATTTGGTGTCATAAACACCATCCTATTCTTTTATTGACCGGTTCTGATAGTGCACTTCAGCCACTCTTATGGAATAAAGGCTGGCGAGGAACCAGCAGCCTCATTTGCACTGACTGATGAGGAGCTCTTGGCGATCATGGCTGATTGATACATCTGAACAGAAAAAGAATGACATCAGCACTCCTTCACAAAGCTCCAACCTAAGTGATCCCTGAAATAAGGTTTCATATGGTTTGTTAATCACTGTAGGGAAACTGGCAGTGGGCTGTGTGAAGCAGGGAGCCTTCAGCTAACTCCAGTGATTTTTCAACAGAAACTAAATTGTTATTTCAAGCATAGTTTTTATTAATTTGTACATGTCCATGTGTAGAATTGGTGTGTATGCAGTTTGTATTAAATGAACAGTCTATAACACTGGGTAGGAGTTCATTCCAGTGGCTATATTTCCTGTACTTCTACAGGCTAATTACCACAGGCATCTTCCGTCTTCTCTGATTTATGTCAGAGTTTTCCTTTTCTCCAGCTCTTTGCCTTCACATCAGCTCCTGATCACAGTCAACAGCACACGCAAATGCATTGCATTTGTGATTGAGTGAGAATAAGAAATAAGCAGAGAAAGAGCAGTGAGATGGTGTGGTCATATTTACATCATCCTTATGTGGAACAATTAAAGCAGGGAGTGTGGATGATAGCGCGCAGAGCCAACCAGCCTCGATGTAAATTTGTGGCTCCATTCCAGCGGTATATTTGAGGCCGCAGTGCACAAATCACGGACAGAGTTGCTGACTGTTAACTGGGCGTGCCAGGATGCACAATTAATTCAAAGGCTATGTCAGGCCATAGTGATCCTCTGCATCCAGACTGGAGGGCCTGATTCACCACACACTACTGTTAATGGCTGCATATGTCAGTGGGGATTTGTGGTACTGGCAGCGATCGGGGCTCTCTCTCTGTAATATATTGGAGGCAATGGGTCATTGGTTTTGTTTCCTGTCGCTTTGTGCAGAGAAGATGTTTCCGTGCTGATTTTTTTTTTTTTTTTAGCTGAGCCCTCAGTTCAAGTGCACGTAGCAGGGATGCAAATGAACTGAATGATAAGGTCAAGAGAGAAACACAGATCCAAGCAAAATCTTAAAGAATTTATTGTTTTGTCATTTTGTTTGATGCATGCTACTTCCATGTAAACCCAAACTGTGCTGTCAGCAGCACAGAATGATTAATATGTTCTTAAACTACTGACATTCACAATAGTCACCAATGGGATCAAAAGAGGGGATATTAGCAAGTTCAGAATTTCCGGCAACGTAACAAAATTATTTATTTTCAACCAGACTGTGAATAAAAAGATATTAAATCAAATCCAAACCTGAAATATGACATGGGCTGGCTTTTTAAGGCTACATTTGTCCTTCTTTTTGTGTAGTAATTCAGATGGAAGTGAATGTGCAGCTGTTGGTAGAGAAAACATTTAACCACTCATACCAGTGATCCATGTGTGTTCTTTCCTCAAAGATGACATTTTGGTCCTGTCTAGTAGATAGTTGGCCTCATTTGAGACTTACATTTAATTATTTTAGCTAGTAAAGGATTGAATATAAATAAAGTATGAGAAAAAAATAGAATTTCTCTCACTGCTCTACCCTCTCTTCATCAAAAAACGAAATTCCTCCAGCCTTCATCATTTTTGTTCAGTCCTTAAATTGTGCAAATGGTATGGCTGTTTAAAATGCAGAAATTTCACTGGTATCAGATGTTTTTTCTTTAGTAAACACTATAAGGGAATTCCCGCTTGTTAAAATTCTGGTTCACACTGCAGTGTTTTCCAGCTCGCGATAACAACTCCATCAGAACTGCAGAGAGCTACTGATTCTTATCAAGCCCTGAATCTTAAGTCCTCAGCAAATGTGCCTCTCTGTCCTCACACAGCTTACTCCCCCTGGCAAGGCATCTGTATAATAAACTTTAAATGAGGAGAGGAGAGGAGAGGAGAGGAGAGGAGACGAGAGGAGAGGAGAGGAGAGGAGAGATTGGCTGTAGCTGCAGCCTGTAAATTCTGCTCTGCTGCCTCTTCTGACTGGCATGGAGTCTGGCCCTTTCCAACTTGTATTTATATCTGTGCTCCAATCAATTCCTATCTCCGACACCACCCACGCTGTCATTAACAGTGTCACAGAGACCATCAAACATGCCTGGGCAACTTCACTCCACCATACAGGCCTTAACGATTTCCCATCCTTGGTATACACCATGATTGATCATTCGGGCACCAGTTCAGCTGCTTTTACACAAAACTGAAAACTTTCCCTCTTCAATCTCCCACTTCAAAGCAAATTAAAACAAAGAAACTTAATTAAGATGTGCACATTGAACGCTGAGGCTAAATACTCCTTCTTTTGTCTTTTTGTGAATAGAGCAGGCAGCGGGTAGGTGGGCAGAATCAAAGCAGCTACACAACTTTTGCTTAGTCCCTTCATTTACTTCTTTTTGTACATGCTGCTTTCTGCTTCATCAAGGTTAAATTCAGTGTGTTTCTGCACTCTCTCACATGGCAATGGTTTTCAAGAGACCTGCCATCTGCTTGGATTCTTTGGCTGGTTCGTGCGTATGCATGTGTGTATGTGTGCACAGACTGTTGTTTGAGTATCCTTGAGAGAAGCTTGCCGCACAAAAAGCCTTTGAAATTCTTTGAAGCAGAAATAGAAACAGAAGCATTTCTTTGTTGCCTTCCTGCTACAATGAATCAAGGTAAACCACACACATGCATGCATAAACGCATGTATATAGTGTCTCTGCTGGTTCTCTCTTACAGACATACGTACACGGACATGTGAATGTACAAACCTTGCACAAACAGACGTGCTGTTTTCCTTTCAATGCCCTGGAGGTCACAGGTGACTGATCCCTGGTTGTGCCTCTCAGTGCTCTTCAGGACAAACACCCAGCCGTCTCCTTTGTCTTTTTCGGCCGTCACATTTGGGTTGACAGAAGGCAGGACGCCGACTTCCTTGGAGATGGTGAGTGTTGCAGTACCGTTCAGCAGCCACACCATAACAGTCCACTTGCTGGAGGAGCTGCAGGTGAAACGGGCCTCGTCCCCTCGCAGGACTGTCAGGGCCAAAGGTGACAGCTTCATCTGAGCTCCAACAGCTAAAGACATGGAACAGTGTAACAAGTTGTGTTAACAAATGACATGACCAAATCTCCTACAGCCAGCAACCAATTAGCTTTTCTTAATATAAATCCTAAACTCAGGGGGAACAGCTAGCTTGACTCTATGCCATGGCAACAAAAATCACCTTTCAACACATCTAAGCTTTACATACTGTTACATGCTGTTTGTTCAATCCACACATTTAAAACCATTTTTTTTAAAGTAAAAATAGCCAACTGTGGTTATTTGCTGGACTACTGTACTATCATACCTGTCAGGTTGCTAGGCAACCAGCAGAGGCTCTGAATTTCCCCAAATGTTGATCTATTGCATTTAAAAGACCTAATCAAGAAGTTAGTTGTGCAATAACACATAATCTTCATAGTTCCAGTTTCACATCTGACCTGAAAACAATCACACAAACTATACAGATGCAGTTCAACAACAACTAAATGCTTCTCTTCTCTCAAGTGACATCAGCACAGGTAGAATTTAGCAGGATATCCAAACCCTTAACTTTTTTTAAATTGCTAACCGACTCCTGCAAAATGCAGACAGATGTTCACATACAGTGTGATCAAGCAGCAGAAATGTCTGACTGACATTTGATAAGGTGTCATCAATATATTATGGAGGAAGAGACTGTGTATTTCATATTCAGTAGCGAAGCTGGAATAAGACTAGGGAAGGTATCTAATAAAAGAACAGAAAATGTGTTCATTTAGTTTGTCCAAAGAACAGACAAACTTAAGATCAAGTGTGACTCTGTAAAAACAAACTCAGTTGTGAATTCATGGGTTATCATTCATTTATATGGTAATCATCTATTTACAATCAGTTACTTATATGTGTGTTCATTTTCAGAGAAACAAATTGTGTTTGTATTTTCAGGTTGTTGCTGCTTCCAGCACAGCAGATGTGTGTTGCAGTGTTACATAAATAAGGTGAAAAATAGAGAGCTTAGGGTATTACAGGCAATGGGTTCCTTTGTCAACATATGGGATATAGACTTAGAGTTTTGGATATGTGATGTACCCATCGAAAGAACTATAAATAGGCTGTTTTGCTTGTATTTCTCTGGACAAATTCTGCTTTTCTCCCTATTGCAATACATAAATTTACCAAGCAACCTGTCAGTGTTTGGTGTTTTATGTTTTTAAGGTCATAAGAGTCGCAGTTGTTCCTCCAAGACGATTTCAGCAGAGTGACAGGGCCAATATGGGTTACTGTTTTTTCTCATAAGTGGGTGTACAAATCTGAACCTTTCCCAAAAAAAAAAGGACTCAGTGAGTGCCACTCTCAAACAAATTCACCAAAACATTCAACACATGAGGAGAGTGAATAGCAGAATAACAGCACAGCTCACCAAATCTGTTTCTTGCTGTGGATGTCCAGATGGAGATTTGTATTTTTGATTTAGCCAGAATCATGACAGAATAAAAATAGAATCAAAGAAGAAATAATTAAAGGATAGTGTAAAAATATCCGATATTCTGCAGATTGTTTTGTTTTGTTTTGTTTCTATGTGCAAGAATACAGATTTCAGAGACATCTTTGACAGCTGATGGCATTCTTCAGGAATAATATTTCTCAGAAACAAGTCAAAACTATCCATGTCGATCCATGTGAGTCCTATACAATATACAGTTTCTCTCAATCAATAAGATATGATAAAACAGAATGAAATAGAGACAAGCTGAGACAGAAAGAAAAAGAGGAAAAAAGAAAGTTAAAAAGGGTTGAACGTGGGAGGTTAGTCTGCTGATAAGACTGTTAAAGTTTTAAAAGGTTGCCATTTCTCAAAGAATTTCTCAGAGTTTCATCACCTCATACCAGATTGTTTCTGGTTTTATATAAAATAAATAAATAAATAAATAAATAACATCCTTGAGCCATTGAGTCTCGAACATTTTAGAGAGTAAACATTTTAACACTAGCCTGCAACAAACAACAAGACCAGATGACATGGAAACTAAAATAGATGAACAGAATCTGTGAGGAAGCACTAATAACCCACTGAGCTCTAAATGTTAGGCAGTACTCTTCAGGCGTTCTATAAACTTCACACAGTCACACAAATGCACACTTCCACGGTCGAATTTCAGGATATCTTTGTGGCTTTCTATCATTGACGAATGAAGGAGGAAAAAAATGAATATTAATGGCAAACCTTGAAATGTGAGATAACAGGTTTATGGCACAGTACTCAGGGTGATGTATAACTTGTTTGTGGTGAGCTAACTGCGTTACCTTCTACAGCCAGCATGCGGAGTCGTAAATTATGCATCCCTTTAGGAAATTAGGTCTGAGAAATATCTAGGCCAGCCTATACAGCAATTTCTTTTCATTGCTATCAGAGAATGGCAAACTAATGAGCATAATTTGTGCTTCCTCCTATTGGGACCACGAACTAGTGACTCTGAAGTCCCCCGACCACTGGATACATCTAACTGTTAACTAGATAGGCAGCCATTTTTAAGAAAATTAATTATAAAGTGCAGATAGATCATTAGGCCCCTAATTACTGTCTGTGGGTTTAATCTGAAGGGTGCCGCTATCAAGCACACCGCAGCACTGAATGTGGTCGTTAATACAGGCACATTACCGGCCTCAGTGCCACATCTCCAGTCAAACAAGCTGCTGTGTTTGCTTTGAGCTGAACTCTTACCTTCAATCCTGCATGAAAGTAGGAGGACTAACAGAGGAAAGGTATCCATGTTTAATCAGTTGATCCAGTCAATCCATTGTTCAATGGGAAATGGTCCTAAAACAAAAAAATATTCAGTTATTCTCTGCATAGGTGCCTGGTAGATCACAATCACCTCGCAAGGATGGCAATGTAAGTCTGGTTTACTGACGAGAATATCAACAATCATTGGGTGAACTGTTATGGTTTTTGGTACAACCATTCATGGTCCACAGAGGGTGAATTATGTCAACTTTGGTGGTCCTGTGACTTTTCCTCTGGGACCAGGAGCAGGTCGAAATTTTCATTTATGCTGTAGAATATCTTAACATCTACATGACAAACTGACACTTTTTTGGGTTTTCTTTAGAGACACATTCATGGTTGTCAGAGGATGAAGCCACCCTAAGGTTGTTATCTGTGATATTAAAGGAAATGACCTGACAGCTATTGAATGAGATTGTCATCAAAATTTCCCCTCCCTGAGGATGAACTATAAGAACTTATAGAATGCCATAACTTCCCATACAGGGCCATCTTCAAGTCAAAAATGTAATTTAAATTTTTACGTAATAACATTCCCATTTACCTCAGCTGTAATTTGTGTTTTCCGTGATATTTAGCAAATGTCCCACTATGATGGCAAACATGGTAAATATTCTTGATTAGTCCAAGTGGGGCAAAATATTGATACGGATATACATCATATCACTTCCTCTTGCGATACATTATCAATATATTGGGGCCAAATATCGGCATTTTTACTCAAGCCTGCAGGTCTGAACAGATTCTCACAACTGATTTGTAAGTGCAAGTGAACTAACCTGCATTGAGGAAGAAACTCAAATGGCAGACTGAATGATTATTATTAAAACTGAAAAACAATGATATTACAGACACACAGTGACACCAGAGTGCAGTGAATAAATTCACAATTCCTGCTTTATTAATTTTTGCTGGTAGTTTCACAAATATCATGATATTCGTAAACTGTTTTGCAATGCATCAAGTATATATGTTCTTGACACCATCATTATCCTTGGTAATGTGTTGTGATTGTATCCTACAGTACGTTGCTTCTACCACTACTGCTCAATATCCATTTTTTTACAACTATCAGTGTGGACATGCTGGCATTAAAAATTTTGTTTAAGCCTACAATGTGCCAAAGTACAGATTTTCAGTGCTGCTACAGTCTTCTTTAACAAATCGTGTGCATATCTTTTGTTGTAAGCTGTTAGAGAATTAAAAGACAAAAGGACTTTCTCATCTTTCAAGTTCATCTCACAATAGAATGAAGCTTTTCTGGAAGAGAAACAAAAGCAGGTACCAAATTCTTTTTCTGTTAAATTTAAATCATTTCTTATTTTATTAACTCTGAGCTTGATGCATTATTCATTTGGGCCTTTCAAATAGCATTGAACTCTGGGTTTACAGAAATTTAAATGCATCAATGCAAATGCAGTCTGTCCAACCTGAAGAGTCAAAACAAATTACAGCAAATGTAGTTAAAGCTGAATAAGACTTATACGCAACATGATCATCTGTTTACTGCATATTTCTTGTTTTTACGCCTGCTGATTGTCCATGCAGAGAGATCTTTTACTCTCTGATTACTTGTCTCTGATTACAGAAGTATACAGTAGAATATTTCTGTACAGTGGTCAGAATACAGCAATTTCAGGTCAAAGTATAATTTTATGCTTGGAAACACACCAACCAACCTAATAAAATCACTGAGATCTTGTAAACAAGTAACTTCATGCACTACACCTGTCTCTTCACCATTAATTTCTCACGGAGTTGAGATCAGCCTTTACAGTCCAAGTTACAATAAATATCCATGAATCACACTGTGTCTGTTTGACTCACCTCAGTCTCTATGGTACAGCAGCAAGCGTCACACACAGTGGATACATCGCAGCAATGCTGCCTCTTCTTCATGCCTGGTGCTCAGTCAAATCACCCAAAACTGTCCCGTTAAATATTACCAAACTCAGTGGGAACTTTGCCCCATGCTACACACACTCACATGTAAACACACACAGTGACTCAGACTGCAAACAATACCCCTTGTAAGGCTCCAGTTCCCAGGGGCCTGACAACGAAGCCCCCTCCCTCTTCATAATAATGGATTTATTCTGGATGTCTTATCCAGATGATATATGTGGAAAATGTTTGATATATTGTCTGGAGGGGTTCATTTTAGAAAATGGGAACACACTTTTATCAAAGCCAGACTGCTGACAGATCTGATTTGTGTTCAGCACTTTGCCAAAACACCTTTCCAGCAGGAAGTACACTTACTTGGTTGTTGTCGTTAAGTACACTTTGAGGTATATGTACTTCACTTGAGTGGTTTCAATTTTATGGCAGTTGATACTTCTGCTCCAGTTCTACTACCATTCACAGGAAAATACTGTGGTTTTCACCCCATGACATTTTTTTTTGACAACTATTCAGATTAAGAATGTATACTAAGAGACAAGTCATCCTGCATCAAATTTGATTCATACTCATCATCACAAATAGACTACATCATTGTGATGCACTTTTTACTCGTCTTCTTAAAGACTATTGGAGGGATGCAACTTATCGACAGTTCTGCTACTAGACTGTAAACAAAAACCGAGAAGCGTGAACATATCACTCCAGTCGTGGCAACTCTGCACTGGCTGCATCCTATTGAATTGATTGTAAACTTCTTGTACTTGCATATAAACCCTTAGTTTTGGGCAATTTATAACTAATCTTTATTAGCAGAAACCTAAGCCAGATCCCTTATTTATGCCAAATCCATTGTTTATGACAGTTGTCAAGCAGAAATGTAAAGATGTTCCTAATAAATGCACTGTCAATCAATAATTAATTAATAGAATTTTAAAAAATCATCATACTGAACATTTGCCCTGTGTAGATAATGGTATTACAAAACATGCAAAATTACAAATATGACTGTCACAGATCACGTGTCATTTAAATACAGTGATGTTATACTTGCTAGTACTGGCCTTATTCAGTGTATGTAAGCAGCCTGGATGTCATTAAGTGTCAGAAAAGACTTTGTCATGGTGCCTCCTTACTAGTTAAACCCCCAAAATTCTCTTTCCTTTTTTAACACAGAAGCGCCCCTTCCTATGGTTGCTGTAGCATTTAACCGTAAGACGCTCCACCTGGCAATGCAACCAAGTACTACAGTTAATCTATGTTACTTAAAGAGGGTATTATTGAGATAAATGGTATCAAATTTGACCTCAGCATGGACAGATACTAAATATGAAATGGCCTGACAGAGGGAAAAAACACTTGATCGTGACATCCCTGCTCTCAGTGGCTCACCAACAGCCCACATCACAAGTTCTCTGCTGCCTTATATCCCAACATCAGCCCTTAGATCTTCTCCTGTTGGCTCTCTGGCTCCCCAAAACCCCAGCAAATTGAAAAGTGTGAATGCAGCTTTTTGCAGCGATGCTCCCAAGCTGTGGAATAACATACCCGAAGTCAACAGGCAGGTTCTGTTCAAACTTTTAAACAGCACTTTAAAATATAACTTTTTAAATTGCTTTTTTTTTTTTTTTTTAAATTTATGTTAAGGCACTTTGAGTTACATGTATTGCATAAAAGGTGCTATACAATTTAAGTAGTAGTAGTAGTAGTAGTAGTATTGTTCATAGGTTGTAATATATAATAGACTGTTACTGATTAAACTATAGCTTCCTAACCAATATGACCCTTGCAAAGAACGCAATCACAAAGAAAATAAATGTGTTCAAGCTTTCACCTCACAAAAGGACCTAGGTTATTCTTCCACCACATCTCTACCCACATCTTAAAATAAACAAAAAGCGAATTACTCAGTTTTATTCTTGGCTCCTGGCCTGTGGTGGTCCTGCATAGATGACAGGCTATTGTGAACATATTGAGCACATTACTAATGCTTGGCCAATACTATACATGCCTGGACATTTTTAACCTTGTTATCTAATAATAATATAAGTGTATGTTCCTGTCCACCTCTACCCAGAATCTCTGGGGACAAGGCATTTGCTTTCCGGTACGCCCCTGCACTGCTCAACATGCACAATGGTCCATTGATCTATAAATATGCCAACAAAGGAGTTTAAAATAAACCCTAATAGAACCACTGTTGGTCTTTTTTTTACGAGTCCACTTTATTTCATTTTACATCGCATCCAAGTCTTAGCCACATGTTTCACTCTTCGTTCAACAAAGTGCATTGTTCAGACAGCAGTATTGGCAGAAGCAGTTGTAGTGGTGGTGGAGTAGTTTGCAATCTTGCAGTATGTGCATAGTTCCTGTCTCACATGGCCATTAGAAGTCTCAGTTTGCATTTATACATTCAGCTGATAGAAGGAGTCAGTTAGGCGTGACATAGGAATAAAAGAACAGAGTGAATTGTGCTCCTTTGAATCTGAAAAGCTACAAGCTAAGGTACGCCAAGGTTAGATATTTTTTGAAAAGGTCACTGCTTCCTTGTGTTAGAAAACTAGAATTTCTAAAAGTAAAACATGAGAAATATGTTTGAGTTTAACAAAATCACTGTGCATTTTACAAAAGCTACTCATCACAAACAAACCAACACCACAAGGCTACTCTGCGCATTTTCATTACAGTAAGTCTCTACACAGAAAATATAAAAATTAAGTCAACATTGCAGTCAAAAGGGAAGGGAGAGGGGGCAAATGTGGGTTAGGACTTTTCAGTTCTGATGAAGCCTTCAACGACATGACCGGCGGTTTCCAGTACGGTCCAGTGCGGCCTTTGGGGGAGAGGTCTGATGGGGGCTGAGGGGGTCAAGCGTCAGGTGTCAGGGAGAGATGGATCGGAGGCGCTCCTACAGGCTGGAACACAAGACAAACAGATGAAGGGAAAAAAAATGAGGTCAGACATTTCCTAGTTGTCTGCGGTGGCTGAGACTGCCACCACCACCACTACGCCTGTGCCACCCAGCGTGCCCACCCCTCCGGAGGCACATCTGAAGATCACTTAGCAGCTTCCTCTAACAAGGCGTGACAGAGGCTTGCAGGGGTTGGGAGACAGCAAAAGGGAGGAGGGAGACTAGTATTGCCATTCCTTCAGAGCCTGCACTGTGGGCTCTTCCTCCAGTGGGTCGTGGATGCCTGACACGCAGAGGGGAGCTAAAAGACAGGCTTTGAAGATTAGGATTATTATCATCACAACCATCATCATCACTGCCACTGCCTCAGAGGGGGGAAAAAAAAAAAAAAAAGATGGGGGGAGGGAATTGTGAGATGTTGTTGTTGTGGCTCCAGATGATCCCCAGGCACTCTAAGTGCTCACTGAGGCTGTTTGCAGATGGAGCCATAGTGGCGGTCCCTTGTAAATAGGCTGCTGCATTTTGTTTTTTGTTTCCGCTGTGTGAACACCTCAAAGTGCAGGTCAAAGAAAAACAAAAGATAAGTCCATCCGACCACTAAGGTGAAGCAAGGGGAGCCTCTGTGTTAGTTTGTGCGATTTACACATTTCTAAAGTAAAGGCAAGGACATTTTACTGCAGTGAATCCATCCCACTGCTTCATTTGTACAGTGTGTGTGATATAGCTAAAACTGACAGGTTGATTAATTGTGTTATTTTGCATTCACCTTTGATTTGATAGCAAGGTCAAAGAGGCATGCAAAAAGCAAAACACTGCTCTGAATACAGGTTTATCTTTGTAATTAATCTGGTTACATAAATGCCAAATATAAAAGCAACACCATTAAGTCCTATTCGTTCTTCTACCAATCCACATAATGCTGCACTGTCCCCTAGTGGTGACGCAGAGGCGCTGAAACTAAGCAGTACAGAAAAGTAAAAGTGTTTTACCTGTATTGTAGTAAGTCAACATCCTCGTCGCCTGGTTTTAACTACTCAGCCTCTTCCTCCTGTAAAAACAGATAATAGATAATAAGCAACACATAGATCGAAAGCAGTGAAAGATGGGAGAGCTGAAGGTGAGCAAAAATGTGTCAAAATACATGTATTTAAAGTGACTGTGTGTTTTGTTGTGCGATTATGACACATTTCCCTTTTTTCTAATGGTGCATAATTTAATATATGGAAAAATAAAACAATCCCCGAGATATTAGGGGCTGTTTATGTGTCATTTTCCAACCGCTCATTTCAGTGACTGAAGTTATCCACTGCGGGGGGATTATTGGATTTAAAGTAGAAAGATTACAGTCAGATCTGCTTAGTTTGTTGCATAAATAAAAGCAAGAGCGATTCTTCTGACAAAACTGGCACGAAAAAAAACAAGTCCAGAGCTTTTCTTCTTTTTCAAAATCAGTTGTCTTGTTTCTTAGTGCTCTAGTAATTCCAGTAAACCCAGTAACTTCTGGGAGCTGGTTATCAGGATGTTGTGCTCATCTGTGTTTGTGTCTCACACAGAAATCCCCTCTTAACCGGAACAAGACTTTTTGCAGGCATGTCAGGCACACAGGCAGAATTTCAAACTGCTGTCATACTACCTGTGTTTCTTCCACGTCTTCTTCTTCCTCCTTTGACACATTACAGAAAAAATGAGAGAAAGAAGGGGGTTGTGTGAAGTCATGGTCCAAATTTGCAGGAAGGTGAGAGGACTTCACATGTTAGTGGTTGCAGTGAGGGTGGGTTAAAAATGGAGAAGGAGTAATCCGAGAGAAGCGAGGGTGGGAGCAATGACAGCCGGTTCGAGAGAAACTGAGGACACTAATGACTAACGGGTTTCTGTGAGATGACCTAAGCAAGACAAGAGTGGTGCTTAAGACGGTGCACCGTGTAAGATGAGGTTTTAAAGCTTAAAACTACACATTGCATGTTTCGTTTAGGTGTTATCACTCAAACTGTGACGGTTGTTCCCTGTTAGTACAGTTTGCTGACTGCCTTTTTGAAGTAAACAACATTCTCATCATGGGACAAAGGGAGCTAACGTCATTATTTATAATTAGATGCCACGATTACTTGATTCCATCCAGTTGCACAATTTAAGATGGTGACTACCAATACACTGTCCTGCAAACACATCTACTCAATGTGGAGATAAATTACACAGCAGGTCATAATCCAGAGGGTCATCTAATGTAAAATACAGATTTTTTTTTGTTTGCTTTGTTTTCTTCCAAGTATTGCGCAATAACAAGATATGCTCCATTTCCTCCATCCTCTCTGAAACTTGTCACATCCAGTTCACGTCCACTTTGTTCAGAGTGCTCTTGGCAACAAGAAACAAAAGCCATGACTTCTTACAAAAAGAAAAAGACATGTCACCCTGTCAACACCCCCCGTGCAACATAACCAAACTGAAAACATGTCCGAGTAATGCTCATGTGCACACAGGCAGAGCTGAGGAACACAACGCAACTTTCCACCTGTTCTATAGACATCAACACAAAAAAGTACAATTGTCTTGGCGGACGCAGAGAAAGTGCCTCTGTGGATATTTTTTAAAGTTCACTGCAACACCAAAAAAAATCTTATGTCTGAAGCAATGCCCATGACTCAAAATCTGAGCACTGACACATTCCCACATGGTGCACTGGACTGCATGGCATATAACCGCCTTAGAGAGAGACAGGAGAAGGGTTCACAAAAACTTACACATACAGCCTTTTGTTTGCAATCGGATCATGCATATAAAGTCACAGTCATAGTATGATTCACACCGTGCAAAACGGGGGAAAAGACTCTACAATCCAAATATACCTCTTGTACTTCAGCCTCTTCTTCTTCCTATGAATGAAATCAGGGGTTTGTGAAACAGAGGGAACGAAGACCAACATAATGGTCCATCTATGACTGGCATTTCTATTACCACACTAAATACACCTTCGAGTAAAATATTATCATATCTACCATGCTGCACACCATCAGGCATCTCTATGGAAAAGAATCTAAACTTCCATGCAGCACACGGAAAAAGAAAGAGGGAAAGAGAAAAGAAGAACAGTGGACGTCTACGAAGCCTTAAAAAAAATACAAGACGCCACAAACCACAAGAAAACTACCTCACTGCCTTGATCGTCTTGCTCCTGCAAGAAAGGTGGGACAACGGCAGAATAGATGGAAAGGAAGAGAAGAAAGAAAGGGCAAAGCAAAGCAGTGAAGCATAGGTGGTATAAGCTCAGGCCGAGGCTGGAATGTCTCAAAGAAGCAGAGCTCTTTTCACACAGCACTTAGAACAGGGACACCTTTGTGACCTGTAGACTAACTGAGGCCTCGAGGTGTGAGGAGGCACATTCGGATTTAAGATCTGGTTAAGTTTGAACTCTGAAGGGACGTTACTCCAAAGTTAGGCAATGCTGTGTGAAAAGTGGCTGAATTGATCATAGCCTGACTGAAACGGAGTGGAAAACAATGAAAGAGGGGGTCTCTCTATGTACCCTGACGGGCAAAACAAAGCACTCTCTGTTGTGTATAAAGCTCACTGCTGTAAGCCCACTGTAATAACTGAAGGCTATGCAAATGAGCAAACCAATGTTCTCCTAATTGGGAGGTGATAGATTGTGATAAACACATTTTGCAAATTTGTAGCACTCTTAAAAGAAAGCATTAACGTATGTAACAAAAGTGATGGATTATTTAGCACAACCCATATTTACTTTATAAGAATGATTCCTATATTGGCAGTCTCATTATGATAATCACATGAGGTCACAGCTTAATTGTCCCTTTATATGTGAGTGTATGGAAAGAGCAACCTTTTGCTATTGCCAAAAGCATTACTGTTGTTGTATATTGCACTTTCATCTGACTCTTAGCTTCCTAAACTCTGCAAATATTGTGTGACCTACTGGAATATCCTCGATAAGACAAGATGTACTAATAACTAGTGGAAAAGAAAACTGAGGGAATGCTTAATATACTGGGGGGGTAACAAAGAAAGCAACAAAATGACGACAAGAGTGGTAAAAAAAAGAGACAAAACGAACTCAGAAAGGCTAGGGCTAGGTACAAAGTATCACATGAATCTACCTCAAGCTGTCGTAGCTCTTCTTCCTCCTAAAAGAAATAATAGATAGCAGGTCAGCAGGCTGTGTGGGGAGCAAAAAAGCACCACAGGCATGCGCGAAGGGAAAGTTTTCTGATTTAAAATGGAAACTATGGGGATTGTTGAGGTTGTCAGGAAGCAGCTACAGGACTGGGGAGAAATGATGAACAGGATGTTAGCGGAGCAAAAAGGGAAAGAAAAGTGGTAAAACAACAGAGTGGAGTAACGAAGAAAGAAGAGATAGAGGAGAAAAGAAAGGTGAAGTCTTTACGGAACCAAACAAAGTATCTAGATGAGTGGAAACAGCAGACCAAGACCTCCTCCCATCCCAAACCAACCACAACAGGTCTCCCTGATATCTGATATCATCAAACCCACACCGCTGATGACTATACAGAGGAACTGCAGAAACAGACGATCACTGAAGTACAGTTACCTCTGACTGCAAATCCTCTTCCTCCTGGAGGGAGCAAACCAAGAGGAGATAGACAAAAGGGCAAAAAGGGGTCATACAGTGTGTGTGTGTAAGTGTGTGTGTGTGTGTGTGTGTGTGTGTGCGCACAAGGATCAGCAGTTAGACCTCTGAAACTGATGAAAATTTGTCAGTCGATGAATGGACTGGAACATGAACTGAGGAAAGACGTCAGTTTTGAAGTGCTAAATGAAATGAGATTAGTTACAGTGTGTTACTGCACACAACCTCAGTTAAAGTTGGTGTTGGACAATAAGAATTCGAAAAACCCATATGACCAAGACGTATAATGTGAATGTTTAACAGTAAAAGTCAGGAGTCAAACTCTCGTTAAAAGCGGAATTTCAGAAGAGAAATGTTTTGTATCTGTATCTGTACTGCAGCCTACCTGAAGATATCAGTTTTTAGGGGATACAAAAGTAGAAATTCAAAGGTTTTAAGCTTTCAAATTCATCTTCAACAGAAACAGAGGGAGGGAGAGATTATGTCTATATATTTTGTAGGAGCAGAGACTTCACTTGTTTGACTTCTTGTGTCACACGTTTGAAGAGGAACCCTTACTAACAGAAATTCTTTTTTTACTTCATCATTTCAAAATATGGTAAATTACACTTTTCAGCATCAAAGAGGATTGTGAGAAAAGAGTTTTACTGCTTTTTAATTCATCCATCAGTAAAGGACTAAGTTAGCAGCTAACAGGAACATGTTCAGCTTAAAGATAGCTGGCAGACGTGGATCGGTCAGAGCACTGGCTCTAAACCAGCAATGGCTCCTAAGGGGGAAAAAAAGTTAATGAACATCCACTTGATGTATTTTTAATGCATGCCATGATGTGTGATTAATAATGACTTCTACTGAATATTAGCAGCAATCAATGAACATGAAACACACCTGATGTTGAATGAGTGCAGTCAATAACACAAAGAAAAAAACACTAACGGACCATTCCTTTAAGTGATAACTTTAGTGTGCTGTGAAAATCTTTGAGAAACTCACCTGTTCCTCCTCTTCTTCTGCTTGGGCCTGCTGACAGAGGAGATAAGACAGCATTAGAGATGTCACAGACTACAGTTCGTCCCTCACACTGTACATACAGTACATCCAAACTGAGACACAACAGACCAGGCTCATCGATTCAGACAGAGTGGGGTTTGTCGGGACCCTACTGATACCACTTGACCAGGACAGTTAACAATGAATGAATATGCAGTGCAATGTGTGTTGCATCATCAAACACACGTGGGGAAAGTGTCATCGACCGGAAAACAAAGACAAGAAACTCATAAAAAGTAACAGAAATGCAGGAATACGGAGATTAAACATCCATTGGTACTGAAGGGACATATAAGAACAATGAACAGGAATGTTGTACATTATAGGTTAGTAAATGACTGGATCCAGAGAGAGACTTGAGGAGGAGATGCAGTACAAGGATGACGGGAACTTGTAAAGGAGGCAAACCTTAAACATGAAAGAAAGGGACGGCGTTAAAGGGAAAGCGGAGAAGTAGAGGGAAAACAGATCATTCCAAGAATTATGGGGAAAATGTGGGAAGAAGAAAAACATTCAAAACATCCAAGGGGTGGAGGAGAAGAGGCAAAACGACAGGAGGTTGGGTTCGAGTTAAGGGGCAATTACTGTGTCCTCTGTGACCTCTTCGGTTCCTTCCCCGGCCTCCTCCTCCTCCTCCTCCTCCTCCTCCGCAGGGGCCTCGTCTCCTGCTGTTTCTGCCTCCGTGGCTTCATCATCTGCAGCCTCTGCCTCTGCCTCCTCCTCGCCACCCTCACCTTCCTCCTCATCAGCTGCCTCTGCCTGCTCCTCTACGTGTGCATCCCCGTTACGCTCCTCCACGGGAACCTCCTTATTGTGAGGTGAAAACAACAATGTGTGATCAAGGAAAACAAATGATGAGAGGAAAAAAACTGAACATTTAATCAGGCGCAGCACTCATCAGTCGGAAAGGTTTAGAAATTTAAAATGTAGGTGTTAGTTTAGTAGGTAGGCGTCCAGTGAATAAAGTGAAGGAGGAAATGTTAAAAGGGGGTGGTGACGTTTTCAGAACTGTGGAGAAAATGTTAAGTTTGAAATGAGACATCATGAATTGAAAACAGGCTGTTGTGACATGAGAAGATCAATGCTTTCAACATGATCAATATGAAGTCGCAGCCTGGAGTCAGGTAGCTTAGCTTAGCACAAACACTGGAAACAAAGGGAACCACCTAGCTCTGTCTTAAGGTGCAAAAGTTTGTCTAAAGCCAGATGTTGATTGCGAGCCACAGAAGTACTGTTAAGTGGATTTTGCTGCTTTTGGTAACCTGCTGCAATTGCTTCTAGCATGTTTGTGTAGACTCTCAGTCATCCATGCCATGGTTATGGTCAGTGCTTCAGCAGAAGGCAGGTGGACTTCTCTTTTTTGGTCCTTGAAGTCACTTCACCTCTCCTCCAAGAGACTTATTCAATTCAAGCTGACTGTTGGAAACTGCCAGATCGGGGTTAATTCAACATGTTTATGGTTGAGAACGTTCTCAAGGCTGCAATATAAGTACCTGATAAGTGGTATTGTACATCCCCTCCTCTGTTTAAAAGGCCTGTTCAAGTTCAACATTAATCGCACTCCCAAGCCATCTGTCCTCTCTGTCCAGAATGTGAACACTGCTGTGCTCAAATGAGTGTCTGTTATCCTTTAGTAGACTGCTGAGTCTCTCCTGTGTTGAGCTTTACGCTTGTGGAGCTATAGTTTAGTCTCCCCTGTATATAGGTCTGTATACTTCTCAATACATTGGACTATATCTAAGGCTGATCAGCTTGTTTGTGGGCATTTCATCCTTGGGGTGAACCAGTTTTTGTTAAGAGTGTTGCTGGGTCTGAAGTGCTGTATGTTGTGTCTGGAGAAAATTATTTTGAGTTTCTCAGACACACCAGCTACATAACAGATAACAATGTTGTTCTGCCTGTTCTTTTCATGCACTTTCAATGTAAGGTTCTTTTTTCCAAATCCTTTTGCTGACTGTCGGAGGAAAGGTGAAATGGATAAAGAACCAAAAAAGAGAAGTCTAGTTGACTTGTACTGAAGCTCTGAGGTGAACTATTCCCAGCCTTTATTGTAAGCTAAGCCTCAGCTCCTTCACATTAAGCATTCAGTCATAAGAGACTTGTGGAGTTTTTTTTCATTTAACTCACTGTGAGACAGTGAAAAAGCATTTTTCCCATTTTTTTCCAATTAGTCTCGTCAACCATATTTACTCAGTAAACAGTAAAAGCAAAAGGGCAACTGAACTCTTCCTGAAAACAAAATGCAGCTAAAATGAACACCGTTTACACTACATTCATGTAGCACTGCATTATACCCTGTAGGATAAAGAGGTCAAATCATAAAGTAGGTTCAGTTAAGCAAAAGTTTTCTCTTCTTCCAAAAATCAATAAAATTAATTTAATCTTTTTTCAGCTACTTCAAGTCCAGAGGCAGAGAATCAGTTGAGAGAAAAAAGTTTTTTAAAAAGGGCTTTAGAATTTCGCAGTTGTCAATATCCTGCAATTCAGTTATATCAGTGGAGTAAAATTCTACTCAAGAGGAAATGTTTGCTTATATCTTTGACTTCTGTTTCAAAGACGGTTCATGCCAAGGTTGAATGTAAAAAGAACATTTTAAAGTATCTAGAAACTTTCTTGTAAGAGGAAGATTGTTAGAACGTTACTGGTAAAATACACAAAAATACATTGAATTACACACAAAATGCTTTTCAAAAATATGTACTGAAAAGGAATTTAAAAAATGAACCATAACAATGAACAGGAAAACATCAAATTTCACAATTCAAACCAAACTGAACCTTGTAAAGTACTAATTGCAAAAAAAGATTTGGAAGAACATGATGCTTCACAACTTTTTGACCGTCTGAACACAGTGATGCAATGTCACAGTGTTATCACGAGAACTAAAAATACTGTGTTATTGTGAGCTGAAATCTCTCACTCATGCAACACAAAGATTAGTCAATGTGATGACTGGGACAGAGCGGCGATGAAGAGTCTGTTCAAGTCAACAGAGATGGACGTTGTTAAGTTGTACTGGATGGGAAGGATAAGATGAGACGCAATGAAGAGAAGCAAAACATGAGGGGGAGATGGGAAAAGGTAACGACGACATTACTATTGAGTCATCAAGGTTTTCTTCAGCATGGTTCCCGTTCTCCACAATGTTTGCCTTGTCAGCCTGCTCTGCTTCCTGCGTCAAGGAAACGATCGGGTTTAACACAATGCATCACACAGAATTGAGTCTTGAAATTCATCTGATGCCAATATGTCCTCTACACATTTTGAAATTACACTCTTGAAATAAAGGTCCACTGTGTCCATCTCATCATATTTAATATGATTAAAAATAAAAAGATGTTTTTTATAATCACTGTGAATTTTTGGTGAAATAGCTCCAAACAGCCTGAAATACTCTGGTAAACATAAGATAGACAGATGATGTAGGCATCAAGGTTAATGTGAAAAAGAAATGGAGCATGAATGAAGACAATAATGAAGAAAATTCTTTACAGTATTTTTGGACTTTGTTATTTTTTGTTGTCACATCAGCCATGTGGGCTTTCTACATGAAACAGCAACAAAAACTTCATTACATGCACAATGCCTGGCCCTGTGCAGTGCTCTAAAATCTTTTAATGCCCGAGGCCAGTTGGTCAGAAGTAATCTGATCGGATTTCAGTTATCGCATTGGATCAAATCTGGAAAATGGGATGTTCAACAGACAATAAAGGATTCTTCACTCGAATTGCATTGTGTAATCTTGGTTTTGATCTGGATTAAACCTTTAGAAAAAGTTGCTGAAAACTTCTTAGTAGAATTAGGATACCTGTGATTCCCAGCAGAGGGGTAGATTATAGGTAGAGATCAAGAACGATGTTAGAAAAAACTTTAAAACTGGTCAAGTAAAACAATGTTCGTCATCTATATATATTCATACTTATTTAGATTTTACAGTTTATTTATTTAACAAAGCACATAAAATAGACAATACGATTTTCAGTTCAATGAAGACTTTTTTTTGTAAAGGACTTTGTCACCATGAAAGCTGTCAATATCAAACAAAAATAACATATTTATTTTTTTTCTGGCATTTATCACTGCAAATTAATTACACAAAGAATATGCCTCTTAAAAGCTAAGCTCCCAAAAGCTGGTCTTTCCACAAATAAAGAAAACTGAACTGTCTTTATTTTTTGTTAACTATTGAACATGTGGCTTCTTTTTTTATTATTTGAAACAATTTTGTAATAAATCCACAATGTATTTGTGAATAAGGAATATTTGTGTGTTTGTACTGATGTGGTGTGGGTCAGATGAGGGGAATTTAAACTGACAGGGAAGTTTGTATTGCTTCATTGTGTTGTTTTCTTTCTTCAAATTAAGTGACCCATGCTGGCTGTTCCTCCCATTGTTCTTTACAAAGCTTGGAGTCTACATTGGGATATGTATAGTCCCATTTAATTTGGTAATCTTGAAAAGTTTGCATAGGGGTCAGGGTGATACAACAATGTTGCTTTCACAAAAGTACAGTGGATTACTTGATCATGGATAGCAAAACCTGGGATCTAAATTATTTCAGCTGACTCCACAGCTTTTAGTAATTCTGTGCAGATTACTGCTAAACTGGTAGATGCTGAATTTGTTGTATTGTTCTATTACTTAAAATCCTATAGTGATACCCAAACTGACAAAATAATGCATTAACAATGTATAATAATGTTGCATGTTATTTACTGCAAACAGCTACCAACAATATATGATGCATCACAGAACATCATACCAGACTTTGTTCAACTAAGTTTAATGGTCCAGAGGGACTTAAATGAGTAATTTGGGGGTAAAAGAAATTGCACTAATTTGTTGAAGCATGCTTTCCATATTAAAAAACAGAAAATAGTTCCAACCTTTGACCCAGGAGGAGGAGGCAGACCCAGGAAGGCATACACTGCGTTGTCCTCCTTGGCATCGAAGAATGTGTCATAGTCCTGCATAAAAATATGAGGAAAGATTTTATTAATAGTGCATGGCAGCTTCTGTTGGTAAAGTCTAGCTTACTAAATCATACTGCCCAGATAAGCTACAAATACTCCCCTCTGATCACTTGTGGTTACACTTGCCCACATATCCCCTGACTGACATCAAAGTGTTTTCTCCAAAAGACATCCCATTCTGGAGCCAACCACAAGTTAACAAACACAGGTCTATGGCATTGTGACTCCTCATTATGAATGCATGTATACTCACCCCGCAGTAGCCCTCTTCATTGAAGATCTGCGGGGGGAGGGGGATGCCGTTGGCGGGCTTCTTCTCCTCAGGGACATTCTCCCTCATCCACATGCGGTTCTCCTCGTTGCAGGCGATGTCCAGCTGAGTGTAGTCCACTTTGAGAGCCTCCAGGAAGCCGACGACATCTTGCTGCTTCTTCTTGATCTGCGGGGCAGAAAAAAATGAGTGGCAGAGATTGTTCCAAAGTCCTCACTGATTGCACAGTATATGGGAAGGAGGCGGTAATATTTTACTTCAAAGAGAAAATATGGGACAATCTGGTGCTCAAGGTAGTAAGTGTGCAGTATTTCAATGACAACATGGGTCTACATTTGATTCATAATGCTCCCCTCCTTTCCTGTCCTCCAGTTTCTTCTGATCTACAGCAAATAAGCAGAAACTAGGGGTTCATTCATAAACAGAAAACTGAGTAGCCAACTCATCATTTAGTCATTCAAGTCATTCATTTTTCACTCACTACTTTTTTCAGGAATTTAGACTTCTATTTCACCTTTTTCCATCTTTATTTTATTTATAGATGTTTTTATTTCATTGTATCGCATCAGCTGTTTCCTCATTGCAATCATTATTTATGATAGCGTATAATATGATGTATGCAGTAAGAGGTTTAATTTGTATTGTTTTATTGCATTTTTACTGCTTTTATCCATAAAACAATCTGTGGTACATTGTATTTGTATGAAAAGCGCTGTATTAATAAAGTCTAGTTGATTAAGTGTGATTGATCAAGCACAAATGCCCAACATTTGCTTGTCCCAGCTTCTCCATAGTTTGATAGAAAACATAACATGAAGATGTCTCATGATCTAGTTTTCAGTATTTCTGACAAATTCTGTCCACAGTTAATCCTTTAATGGAAGTCATCAGGCATAACTGATCATTAAAAATGACTATTAACAAATCAGATAAATCAAATGAGGATCAGAAATCCTGGTGGGATCTGGACTTTCTCATTCTTAATGTATACTCGAGTCAGCTATCAAGTGTCGTCTGATAATTTGGGCACACAGAAAAATGGTCAAATGCAATCAAGTCCACTCAGAGGATAAAACCAGAAGTGGTAAGACAACACTGTTAACTAAGTGGGCCACCAAGGCACCACTGCACTGGTTCAAACTGCTTATTTAGCTTTGCCAAAAGTAGATCTAGGGGATGAATCCACCCCCTCCCCCTGCAGTCATCACCCCACCGAGTAGAAAGAAACTTACTTCAATCAAAATCTGATCACAAGCAGTATTTAAAAGCTCTTTCTTGAGGGCAAAACCTCTAATAACAGCAGCTGTGTGGTCCAAAGTGCTTCTATATTGGGGTCCGGGACATGAAAAAAAGTTTGGGAGCCCCCCTGTTCTAGAAAGCTCCGCATGTGAATCACATCGACTTGATAATTAAACAAAGACGTAAAGCACTGCTCAGACATGAATCTAATCGAGCAGGCTTTCGGTATGCGCAAATCACAGGCAAGTGACATTAATTTCGAGGTTTCGGAGTCGGTGGGAGAAGACACCGTCCTGATCGGTTCAAGGAGCACAAACCAGGAAAGTTGCAACTCTAAAGAGAAATCAGTCGCTCGGACTGAAAGCTTACCGCCGTGGATCCCGATGAAGAGGCGAGGAAGACTTTGATAACCATTTTGTTACAATATATTTAGTGGAGTATGCAACAAGTAGGCTCTTAAAGGAGCAGGCAGTCTCCTCTATTATTAGAGCGCACCCGGGACGGAGACATAGCACTGAGATCACACACATACACACACACTGAGATCACACACACACACACACACTGAGGTTATTTTTGTCTCCATTAGTGACGGATTGGTGGGTTGTCCCCCAAGCGGTGCAGCTCCACACACACTGATTGGCAACTGGAGCTGTCTGTCCATGCGGGGGACAGTGAAGTTGGTCTCCGGCTCTTTGCTCAGTTCATATATGGACAGAAATAGCACTGACCAGCACTATAGGCTGTGGCTGGCTTTCCCATGCAGGGGGCAGGAGATGCTGCAGACGCGCCCCTGTGTTGAGCAACTTCCAGGTGCTGTTTGGGCACCTGGAAGTTATTGGTTGCCCTCCTGGTTCGACCTCATACCTTCACAGTCTGGACACATTTTTTTTTCAGTTTGATCGCTCATGTTGTACAGTTACCAGGTTCTGTTCTGCACACAACAAATGAAAAGTTGTGGAAAAAACATTCCTCTGCTGCGTATTATGGAATTTTCAGAATTTTAAAAGGTGTTTTTTTTGTTTTTGTTTTTTTAAATTGTCTTTATAATGAGGTTTTCTTTATAATGAGGTTCTATTGTACTTATACTATAGGCTTTTGAAAAAATGTGTGAGGGCTTTAAGAGCCTGTTAATGCCGTAAAGAGAAAGAGGATTTTTTTCCACGATATTTCAAAATGTCGTTTGGCTTATGTAAATTCATTCTGAAAATGGAAAAAACTGAGAAAAAATATTCAATATATCTGACACAAAGCTTTTTTAGTTATTATTTTATTATTAATTTGCTATATCATTAATATTATTACTTTAGACTATGCATTGTTTTTTTTTTCTTATTGTGCCGCTGGTTGCCATGACAACTGTGGGAGTGTCTTTGTTAAAAGGACCCTGGCAACCGCTGGCAATACAATTTGGTTAAACTTAGGCTCAACTAAATATTACATTTTGTGAAAGCATCGCTGGTGTGTAACTGTATCGAAAAGACAGATCCTCAGACAAAACAACTAAGGTTGGTTCATTAACGTCAAACTAGATGTAGAAAACCTCAAATTGATGTCCTAGTTTGCTTTAACTTCAAATTGTTGCCTAATGTTTCTTTAAATGGCTTTTTTTTTTTTTTTTTTATCCTCAGGATGGACAAAGAAGCCAGGTGTGAGAAGCAGCAGGCCCCTGGTCACATTGAGGGTGATGATGATGCTGTGAGCTGCAGCACTGACACCTCCAGGTGGTCCTCTCCCTCCAGACTGAGCTGTGGCTCTGAGAGTCCACAACACTCATCTGACTGTGAAGACAAAGCTGGCTCGCTTATAGACAAGACTCCAGATGTCATGCCATCAGTCAAGCGGCAAGGATTGAAGCAATCTGCAGGGAAAGCTAAAGAAAAAGGCATTTAAAAAAAAAAAAAAAAGTGTTAATAATACAAACATTTTTCATCTAACTCTCACTGTGGTGAGTAAACTGACTTACTTTTTCCTCCTCTTTAGATAAGAAAGCCCAAGCAGTCCACAAGCAGATCTACACTGCAAATCATCAAATCCTGAAGTTGCCTCCAATCAAGCCCCTGCAGGTTTCAATGCCAAGGCTCCAGTCTGTCAACTTGAATTCCATCAGGGAGCTGATGAATCAGGTGTGGGATCTGCAGCAGCAGCTCAAGGACACCAGGACTGAGAACCGACTTTTGAAGAGGTCCCAGCATCGCCACTCGGTGGCACTGCAGTACTACCAAGATTCAGAGGACAGCATCTCACAGGTTGGTTGGCTCAGATTTCAACCATCGTGTGCATAGGACACTCTGAGACAAAACACTGCTTTAACTTCTCCTTGCAGAAATCTGAAAATGTTCCCTCATCTTTCCTGAATAACACTGAATATTCTCACAGCACTAATGTACCAATTTACATGTATTCATGTCATTGAATTGACTATACCTGTTCACAGATTTCAAAAAAGTACAGCAATGAGGTCCGAGCTCTTCAGACGCTCCTCAATGAGACCCGCACCTCCCGAGATAACCTGGCCAGGAAGCTACAATCTACAGAGGGCGAGCTACTGAAAACAAAGGCTGCTCTCCAGCACTTGCAGCTGCTCAGCCAGGACCACAGCTTGCTGCAGAGGAAAGATCTCACCCTGAGGCTGGCTGAGGCCACTGCAGAGCTGGAAAGGAAGGACAAGAGGATACTGGTATGAAGGGGCAGGGGAGTAGGATGATGGTGGGCGAGACATTATAAAAACTGAGACTATAAAACTAATGCATTTCCCTTTTTACCATTTTATTCCTTCAGTTTCTCTTTTCGCTGTATTCCAGGACATGCAGAAGAATCTTGACTTATGCAAAGCCTCATTCAAACACCAAACAGATACTCAACAGAAAAAGATCAAAGAGGAAAGAAAGCTGACCTGCTACCTGCAAGAGCAAATATATCAGCTAACACAAAGAATTCAGGTACTGTCAGTTGAAAACAAGTGGTGGCAGTGTCTTTGACATTTTAATCCCCAGTTTACAAGCATTGTTGCAACGTGTTAAGATGAATGAATATTGTAAATCAAAATGAAACAAACACATAATACTGGAACCAATATTGCACTAACTTCTGAGAAAATAATATTGCAAATGACATCAATGTTTCTATTCAGATTTAAGTGTCTCATTTTCAGTTGAATCTTGTAATGAGATTATTACGAACATCCTAATTCATTCAGACTGAGTGAGCCACAATTAGTGAGCCACAGATACTGAGCATTTCATGTTTGATGGTGTAATTCCTGGTCTTTGGCAGTTACCACTGACACAGAGTTCTAATTTTGCAAACATAGTCTTTAAAATATGTTACAATTATAATGGCAATGGTTCCAAATCAACGGCCTTATTTGATATTAAGTGATCTCAGGTTCTAATGACTGAATATACCTTCTGTTTCTTCTAACTACAGGACAGAGAGAGGGAACTGCAGAAACATAACATTTACTCCCAGAGACACCTAAAAGGATCAAGCAAAAAAGGTCTAAAAGATAATAATCTGCTTTAGCTGAGTCTACTCGTGTCTTATTGTCGGTCTTGAAACTTGTTTCTGATTCCTAGGCAGGGAAAACAAGATGGTTCAAACAGATGGTTTCGTCTTTCTTCCCACTGAAGTTGCAAAACTTCTGGAGTTTGCATATTCTGAGACTAAGGAGAGGCTGGAACAGCAGGAGAGCTTTCGCAACTTGGTGCAGAATGAAAATACTGTATGTATTGTGTATATTTTCACAGATTTCAAGTTTTACCTCCTTTACATATACACTTTAATTTATGCTAAATGTTTCTGGGACAAACGTTAGAAAACTCACATCAAATCAAATCAAGTTTATTGTCATTTTGCTGTACATACACAGTAGTACAGGCAAGATGAGAGAGCGTTTCTTTAGGATCATTTAATTAGTAAGGCAAGACACTAAACGTTCAGTCTCGCTGCCTCCTGAAGGGGCCACTGCATCCATGTGCGCCGCCATCACGTTGAACATGGTGAACCTCTTCAGGTCCTGGTAGGTCTTCAGTGACACAAAGACACACACAACGGTGTGACGATGGTGAAGCTGCAGATGCTGCCCAGAGCTCGCTGTATGTCTGTCCGCCCGGAATAATGTCGTCCCCTCCAGCTGTATGTCCGTCTGGGATGTCGTCATGGAGCCATGTTTCTGTTAAAGCAAACACACAGCAGTCTCTCCACTCTCTGAGGGTTTCTCCCAGCTAACGTAGCTCGTCCAGCTTGTTGTTGAGGGAGTGGACACTGGAGAGTAGGAGTGACGGTCCCATCTATATTGTAGTATATACAGTATATACATCAACCTAGTGTGTCAGTGGGTTAAAAAAAATTACCTTAATGAAAGCAATGTGCTTATATAAATAATGTACATCCAATTTCTGTTAAACTTTGCTCTATGTGCAGCATATTTCTGAGTAGGTGCACTGCATATTAACTCTATTTTATTTTAGTTTACAACAATCATTGGCACTGGACTAGTGCAAAGTAAAATTTGTTTGACTAAATGTTACTAATGAGATTAGGAGACTGTTAAATGGAAGGCCTACTGCAAATATGATTCAGAATATCAGCTGCATTCTGCTAAAATATGGCTCAGTAACTTGCAACGCTGCAGTCATTTTAAATCATCCCACGTGAATATAATGGTAAAATAAAGTTAGATCAAATGACTTCTGTGAAGTTTTATTCAAGGCAGCACCATACCTGTCACTAATTGCTTTCCACATAACTCCAGGTGTTCCCCTGGACTCACTTCATCAGATGCTGTCCTGTTACAAGACATGCAGTAAACAGCTTCACAGCTTTTATCATGACAAGCTTAAGAGGAAAAATGTTAAATTTCCTGCATCATTGTATAGCGTCCAGTTTGTTTTCAGCGCAATGAGAGACTAACCCAGATGTACGGAAATACCTGGATAACTCACGGATTATCAAAAGGCGTGGGGCTTATGATTTCTTTCTATGTGTGTGACGTCACTGATAATGTCACTGGGACAGTTAGAAATTGCAGATACACAGAGGACCTGACAGACAACCATCTTTTAGGACACCTCTGCAGAAACCAGCCTGATGATCACCATGGACACAGTCCACCCAGTTACTGAAACGTTTTTCAACAGGATTAATTTCGAACAGTGGTCATCTCTAATTTTAAGTTGCCTTGACGATGCCACCAAACCTATGCTAAAACAGCTGATATTGGACATGGCAATACTCATCGCTAAATCAATGAAGGCAACACTTGATAAGATGAACCACAAAATCCTAACCACCGAGGACTTCGTATTTACATGCCTTGGAGATGGACTTCATCAAACGTTTGAGCAAGTCCTGGATACAACCATAGCAGTCGACTCTGAGAGCGTGCGTTCTTTGACACAGTTAATTGCCAAAGACGTCACAGAAAGAGTAAATTCTGCCTTGACTGCTTCAAGGCTCAGGCCTAAGATCGCAATTGAGCAGCATGTCTCTCCTAAACACCAAGTTGAAGCCATGGTTGAGCAGGCAACTGAAGTGCTCTGCGAATTAATAGTAAACATGAGGGTATTATGGATACCTCGGACCTCCACAAAGCCTGGCAAACTTTCACTCAAAAGGAGAATCAAACATTTTTTCAGGAAACCAAAGAAGCCATACGATGTCAAAGAGGTCACCGCTGTACCGAATGATGAGTCTCTGGAGCAACCAGTGGAGGACACCTTGACCTTGCCAATGGATATAATGCATTTAGAAGAAAGGGTTCCTCAAGGCACAAGTTCTGCAGAAGAAATAATAGCAGATCAGAGACGGACAACAATAGAATGAACTCTGTTCACCGTGTAATTTTATCTTCTCTCTCTTTCCTAATAAAGTGTAAAATCTCTGATTGCAGCTTTTTAATGTAATTTTTTTTTTGGTTTATTTATTCTTCTGTGACAAATAACTACATTTATATGGGTTGTGTACAAAATAAGACATTTGAGGATGTCATCTTGGGCTTTGGAAAACACTGACGGATTTTCTTCACTATTTTCTGACATTAACCCCTTAAGGCCCCAATTGGGGGCCTCTTGGGTTTTACAGAAAGAAATAGTGTGAAACAATGCACTCATCATGAAAGAATATAGTGATGTTATACATCAAATTAAACAGCAGAACCTGGGCTACAAGCATATATCAGCCATTTCTACATGCCTCAAAGACAACTCAAACACCAACTAAATGATTCATCAAATATGGACATCGCTATAGCGCCACCACGTCAACCCACTCGTCACATTCCTGGCTCTGTCGCTACTGTACGTTATGAAAGACGCACAACCTACCTCTCAAAATGAAGCAGAGTCCCCAGATTCTAAACATATCCATCAAAGCTCTCTAAAACCAAAGCATCAGCGAGAAACAACCCAAAGAACAGCAAAAACCGAAACCGCTTCGTTAAACTGTAGTTATAAAATGTCTCTTGAATTGTATTGAACGCCATTAGTGAAATTCAAGTGAAATATATAGTTTGTACATAAGAACACTCAGATGGTCACCAGTGTGCCAAAATGTGCCAAAGTGTCCAAAAATGTCACCTCGCCTGAACTGTCTAGACTAAAAACTTAGTAATTTTGTTCTACTTCACTTTTTCAGAGTCAACCTTTGCAGGGAGAATGATCACATACTGTGCTATGATTCTGGAGAGGTTTAGAGCTGCATCTGGATCATTCCAAAGAGACAATTATCCTGAAACTGCTTTTTTTTTTTAGGCGAACCTGAAATTTTTAAAGTTGTGTGTGTGCCATCTACATTTACTTTTAACCAGTAACATATATACTGAAATTTACACATCTGAACAAATCTTACAAGTGTTCATTTTATTATGACACAAGAATTATTCAAATAGACCTTGTGGTTGCAGAGATAAACTGTTTCTATTATGGGTATGTAATTTTTGACAAAAGGCCTGAAAAATAGCTCAGGGCTTAAAGGGTTAAATGGAACAAGCATCTACTCGATTAATCCAAACAATACTTGACAGATTAATGATGGAAAAAATCAGTTGCAGCTCTGATGTAGCATCAACAACAATACCATCAAAGCTAAATTGAACACACTTCTGTGTGTTCAGCTTGAAGCAACCCTAATACCATGTGTTAATTACATTATTTTATGTAATCTTTTAGTTTCAGCAATTTAGTTACACGAAATATATAATAGATTTATGGTAGCCTTCTTTAAAGTGCAATTGTTATTACTGGGAGTAAAATGAGAGCCATAGCAGCAGTGTGGGGGTGGAAGTATTTGACAAGACTTAAAAAAAAAAAAGAAAAAAAGATTTTCAAACATTTTCTTATGTGTTTAACTCACTATGGTACCATTTCTATTTTCTCCGTTTGTTGAATTGGGGAGAAAAATGAATAATTTTGTGCGAGTGTTATTGTATCACTTTATTTAATTTTTAAAACCTGCCATTGTGTATTTGAATTGGGTATTTTAATGTTTTTAGTATTTATTATAGTATTAATTATCTTATAATATTAAAAAAAAAAAAAAAAAAAAAAAAAAAAAAAAGTGCAATCCAACAAGATTAAAATCACCACACAGGTACCCAAGAACTGGTCAAATAAGAGTATGGTTGAGTTTACTGATGAGAATTTCTTTTGATATATATATGGACTTTTAAATATCTGCATACCTAGCAATGCATGTATATTTTGCATACCTTTAATAACGATACAGATAAAGAAAGATAAAGATAAACTTTCTTGAACCCACAGTGGGGAAAGTTCACTGTTATAACACCTCCAAAAGAAAAAGTGTACAGTCGGTACAAGAATAATTTAGAAACACCCAGTGCAAATTGAACAAAAAAGAAACAGAAACACACAGTGCAAAAATTGCAAGAGAAAAAAAAAAATTATATACAGAAGATTTATTTATTTATTTTTTTTTAAGAAGACTATATACACCAGATGAGGTAGTAAACGGTTATTGCACATAGTGAAATGGATTTGTTGGTGGAAAAAAGTGCAGCAGTAACAGAGGTGCCAGTGGGGTTTATAATGCAGCATTGTAAAGTCTGACTGATGTTGGGATAAAGGACCTGCAGAAACGTTCCTTCTTACACTTTGGGTGTAACAGTCTGTCACTGAACACACTGCTTAATGAGTTCACAGAGGATGGGATGTGTTTCCTATGACAGCAGACAGCTTGGCCAGTGACCTCCTCTCTCCTACTACCTCAATAGAGTCCAGGGGGCAGCCACAGATAGAGCTGGCTCTTTTTATCAGTCTGTTGAGTCTGCTCTTATCACGCTCAAAGCACGCCCCCTCCCCAGCACACCACTGCATAAGCGACCACCGATGCCACCACAGTGTCGTAGAAGATGCTCAGCAGTGGCCTGCACACACCAAATGATGCAAGTCTCCTCAGTAGGTATAAACGACACTGACCCTTCTTATACAGAGAGTCAGTGTTATCCGTCCGGTCCAGTTTGTTATTTAGGTGAACACCCAGGTACTTGTAGGTCCTCACTCTCTCGATGTCAAGTCCCTGGATGTTCAGCAGTGGAGTGTGTGTAGGTTTCCTGTGGAAATCGATCACCATCTCCTTTGTCTTGCTGGTGTTCTTTTGAAGGTGGTTCTGCTCACACCAGTCAACAAAGTCCATGATGACTTTCCTGTACTCACAGTCGTTCCCCTGTGACATGCATCCTATGATGGCAGTGTCATCGGAGAACTTCTGGAGATGACAGTTGTCCGTGTAGTACCGAAAATCTGATGTGTAAAGGGTGAAGAGGAAAGGTGAGAGTACTTTGCCCTGGGGAGCACCTGTGCTGCACAACATCACATCAGACAGCCTCACATACTGGGGTCTGTCAGTGAGGTAGTCCATGGTCCATGCAGCCAGCTGGTCACTGACCCCCGCTCTCTTCAGCTTCACCCTACTGTATGCAGTGAGGGTTGAATTGTATTGAAGGCACTGGAGAAATCGAAGAATGTGATCCTCATGGTGTTTCCAGTGTCCTCCAGGTGAGACAGGGCTCTCTGCAGCAGGTAGATGATGGCGCCATCCGTCCCAATGCCAGGCTGGTACGCAAACTGCAGAGGATCCATGTTTGGGCTCACCAGGGGGTGAAGATGGTTCAGGATGGTCCTCTCAAGTGCCTTCATTAGATGGGAGGTTAAGGCCATGGGTCTAAAATGGTTGGGCTCTTTGGGGCATGAGGTCTTTGGGACTGGGACCACACAAGATGTCTTCCACGTGGCAGGACCTCTTTCCAGTCTCAGGCTTAGTTCGAAGATGTAGCAGACCACCTGACAGAGCTGGTCTGCACAGTCCCTGAGGAGTCTGGAGCTGATGCCATCAGGACCCGTGGCTTTCCTGGCTCTGGTCTTCTTACGCTGTATTCTCACCTGATCCACTGTTGGTGTGAAGAGAGGAGGAGAAGATGGGTGGAGAGAGGAGGGCCCCAGAGATGAGGGAGGTAAGGAGGAGGAGGGGGTTACCAGGGAAGAGGAGCTGGAGGTCCTGGAGGTAGTCAGGACAGTGCTCAGGCTGGAGGGGGAGGGGGTGAGACCAGCATCAAATCTGTTGAAAAACAGGTTTAACTTGTTGGCCAAGTCCCTGTCCCCAGGTTCAGGGTCCCTCTGTATGCCTTTGCCTTGCCTTGATATGGTCTGGAGTCCTCTCCAGACCTCTCGCGTTGTTGTGCTGTAGCCGGTCCTCCATTTTCTTCCTGTAGTTGGCCTTACACTCTTTGATCTTTCTTTTGAGATCCTTCTGTATCCTCCTCAGTTCTTCTCTGTCACCAGACTTAAAAGCCCTATTACAGCCCTATATTACACAACTGAGAAATAGTGCAGTCAAACAAGTTGAAAATGATAACAACATTAATAACAATTTGATAAGATATATTTCTGGAATTTGAAAAATCTGTATATATATAGATCAATGCATGCATATTAGCTATGACTTTAGTATCAATTTATTTAAAAAATGTTGCAGTCAGACAACCTGAAAATCATCACAGAGGTAATGCTTCAGTGAAAGACCATGAATACAATGACAGATTGAAGTATTTTGACACAGGGAAAAGAAACCTCCCCTTCTTAAAAATCCATTATGGCCATTCCAGTATAGATTTTTAATTGAATGCACCATGAGATCCCTATCAGCCACACAAGCAACTCATTTTTCAGTGTTGATGGCCTGGCTGCAGTAACTTCTAGGTTTGTACACCTGGAACAAACTTTTGAAGAGGCTCCAGCGTCGCCACACGGTGGCACTGCAGTACCTCCAAGATTCAGAGGTCAGAGCCTCACAGGTTGGTTGGCTCAGATTTCTATCATTATCAAATCATTGTGTGCACAGGACACTCTGAGACAAAATTGTACTGTCCGTTTCTCCTGGAAGAAATCTGGAAAATGTATCCTCATCCTTCTTAAATAACACCTACATACTCTTCCAGCAATAATAAGAGCAATTTACAGTTATTCCTCACATTGTATTGACAATACCTGTTAACAAATAATATAACACAAAACACAAAAAGGTATTTTCAGCTCTTCAGATGCTCTTCAATGGGGACTTGCATCTCCCGAGATAACCTGGCCAGGAAGCTACAAGCTACAGAGAACAAGTTACTGAACACAAATGCCGCTCTCCAGCACCTGCAGCTGCTCAGCCAGGACCACAGCTGCTGCAGAGGAAAGATCTCACCCTGAGGCTGGCTGAGGCCACTGCAGAGCTGGAGATGAAGGACAAGAGGATACTGGTATGAAGGGGCAGGGGAGTGGGATGGTGGGTGACACATTATGAAGAGAGAGATTATGAGATATTCACAGAGATATACAGAGATTATAAAACCAATGTGGTGACATTTGCAGGCCTTTGTTCTTCATATACACTGCGTTCTCTTTGACTATAGGGAATTAGGGAAATTATTATTTTTCTTCTTTTTTTTGCATAGTAGTTTTTGTTAAATACTAGGTTTTAGTTAACCCTGATTTATCTGGCAATCTGTGCAACACATGCTGGTGCTCATCCTTTCATTTTGTCTTTGTCTGCAGTCACTTGTTTTCTTTTTGCAGGCACTACATTTTGTGTAATATACTTACTTCTCAGTGGAGTCAGACTGGTAATGTTAAGTACTTGAATTGCATTGTTTAAAGCAAAGGTGGCAGGATTGCTCGTGCTGTTTCTTTATTGCATGGCTTGAAATAGTAGCGGAGAAACTGCTTTGTGATCAGTCTCGTGTTTTTGCGTGTTGGCGAGTTTTCAAATGTGTGATTCGTAATAGTGATGCAGTAACTGCTAGTGCAATACAACATTTGATTGCTGTCTTTTGGGCTTTGTGTGTGTCTGTGGGTTGCTGTGTTTTATTGTCATAGCACTTGTTTTGTGTAGTTGTGTTATCTTCTGGGTACTGACTTGCAAATTTTTAGACAAGGTTTATTTTGTGTCTCCAGGAGTACTTGACTGTAATTTTGCTGCAGTGCATGTCCCGTATAAGATCATTTTGTTTGGTCATTTTACTGTGGAGCTTGACCTAAAGAAATTTTGTGAAGCCCTTACTACAGAGCATATTTATAACTGTAGCAAAGCACAGCTCAAGTCCATTGAAGAGGTTTACCGTATTGATATTTCTATCATTTCTATTTTAAAAAAGATGTAATTATCACTAAGATAGCCAGTTCAGTTGGGGAACAGGAAGTACTAACCAGTGAGTCAGAGAAACAGACATGAGTGTGGACGTAAATAGCAGACTAAACTAGATCAGTCCGTCCGCTTGCAAGAATTAGAACTCCTGTCCAAGATTAAGCAGCTTGAGTTTGAGGCAAAAAATAAAGAGCTAGAGATGAAGTCTAATCTAGAGATGCAGAGNTTACAGAAAGAAATAGTGTGAAACAATGCACTCATCATGAAAGAATATAGTGATGTTATACATCAAATTAAACAGCAGAACCTGGGCTACAAGCACATATCAGCCATTTCTACATGCCTCAAACACAACTCAAACACCAACTAAATGATTCATCAAATATGGACATCGCCATAGCGCCACCACGTCAACCCACTCGTCACATTCCTGGTTCTGTCGCTACTGTACGTTATGAAAGACGCACATCCTACCTCTCAAAATGAAGCAGAGAGTCCCCAGATTCTAAACATATCCATCAAAGCTCTCTAAAACCAAAGCATCAGCGAGAAACAACCCAAAGAATGGCAAAAACCGAAACCGCTTCGTCAAACTGTAGTTGTAAAATGTCTCTTACCTTAGCTGTTTTGCCATGAAAAGTTTATTTTATCGGTAAATCCACACCGGAATCAGTTAGTACTACTTCCCGTGCCACACGGAAAGCACGTCACCCGTCTCTGGGAGGCTGTGTGAACCGTAGGATACTTCGGCAAAGTGAACGAGGGAGCGAGCGGCGAGAATGCAAGATGGCGGTCTATTGATTCTGATTGGCTAAAAGTGCTGTCAATCTCGTTTTGGTGGCAATGGCTATCTTCTATTGGCTCTAACGATTCGAAGGAGGGTTCAATCGCCGAAATCGGCCGATCCATCACGGAGATTCAGCCGCGCGTCATCAAGGGATCTCCACATCCGTTCAGTCGCCATTACGCACACGACGCTAGCACAGACAGCGGTCTGGTAGGATTAAAAAAAAACTAAAACACTGCTGTATTTGGATGTATTGAAAGCCATTAGTGAAATACAAGTGAAATATATAGTTTGTACATAAGAACACTCAGATGGTCACCAGTGTGCAAAAATGTGCCAAAGTGTCCAAAAATGTCATCTCGCCTGAACTGTCTAGACTAAAAACTTTGTAATTTTGTTCTACTTCACTTTTTCAAGGTCAACCTTTGCAGGGAGAATGATCACATATTGTGATATGATTTTGGAGAGGTTTAGAGCTGCATCTGGATCATTCCAAAGAGACAATTATCCTAAAACTGTTTTTTTTTTTTTTTAGGCGAACCTGAAATTTTTAAAGTTGTGTGTGTGCCATCTACATTTACTTTTAACCAGTAACATATATACTGAAATTTACACATCTGAACAAATCTTACA